ATTGTTTATTTTTCTTACATGTCCTTGCATTGTGTCCATATTCCAAGCAAGTCTTGCACATGTGGCTTGTGTTTGTTCTTTGCCACCTTGTTTGACTTTCCTCATCTATATCTCTTCTGAGTTTCTTTGGTCTATTAGGACCTCTCTTGTAACTTGGTGGTAAGATTTCAGGGTCAGTAGTCCTTGGCCATTTGTTTTGGCCATTAATGGGACTGATAACTTCATTGTAACACGAGACATAGGTAGACTTATGGTAACACTTGTGTACATACTTAATGGGATTATCTACCTTCCTATGTATGGCTGCAACAACATGTCTACATGGGATCCCAACCAAGTCCCAAAAATTACAAGAACAAGTATGTTTTGCCAAGTCTACAACATAAATTTCTGTGAACATTACATGACTTACTGGAAATGTTAGTCTACCTTCATATGTGGGCAGCCAATTAGCAATTTTTTCTATCTCCCCGTCTAACCATCTAAGTGGTTTAGACATGATCTCTCCTTTGTAATTTTTAACCTTCTCCCTAAGAGTGGCAAACATAGCCATAAGATAGTTCTTAATCCACTCAAACATGGTAATTATAGGTTTATCCCTTTGCATCAAAATAGTAGCATTGAATGATTCACTTAGATTGTTCATAAGAACATCACACTTAGAGTACAAGAGAAAGGCATGTTTACACCACTTATTCTTGGGAATAACATTTAGTCATCCAAAAGCATCTGGATGTACCTCTTTAATTTGATTCATCTTATCCACGTGAGCTTCAAAATAGGTTGCCTTTGTTGCAGCCATTATGAGATCTCTATATAGTGTACCACCTCCAAATTTCTTCTTGAAGTTAGCATATAAATGCCTTAAGCAAAATCTGTGTTCAAACTCATGATATTCTTCCTCAAATACATTCATCAGTCCCTGCATATACATGACCACCACATCAATAAGTAACATTAAACACTAAATAAACAAGTACCATTAAGCATACCTTTTTCTAATCAGACATGAAACACCACCTATTATCAGAATCAATATCTTCAAGAAGTAACTTAACAAACCAACTCCAAGAATCCCTAGTTTCATTCTCCACAACCCCAAAGGCAAGTGGAAGATACTGGTCATTGGCATCCCTACTGACAGCTATCAACAAGATTCCACCATATTTGTTTTTTAGGTGACATCCATCTAACCCTATGAATGGTCTACATCCAACCTTCAATGCTTTATTTATACCATCAAAGCACACGCAACACCTTTTAAACCTAGGTGGAAAACCAGAAATGTTCAACTTAAATGTGTTTCCTTTGAATGCCCTCCTCAATTCAGCTTCATATGACCATGGCATACTGTATTGCTTGGCTGAGTCCCCTTCAATAACCTTTCTAGCTAGTTGCCTTGATTTTAAATCCCCACATCCAGTAATTTCTATAGCAAACCTCAATCTTACATCTGCTATAACTTCATTCAATTTCATACCTGAATTGTTCTTTAACTTGTCAACAATCACTCTAGATACCCAATCAGCATTAGCATTCTTGTTGAAGAACTTTCTTCCACATTTGTGCTTCTGAAATAGAGTTTTGATCCTGAATGATGTTGTTCTCAAAACTCTGCTGCATAAAACTGTGTAATCACATTGTTGTTTGTCCTTAAAAACAACCTCACACCTTGTCCCATCATTTTTGGCAAACCTAACCTGCCTACCATTCAACACATTGTGTTCCAGTACAACCTTTTTAAATTGCTTAAGAGAAGAAAATTACATTCCCACTTTGAATTTAAATTCTTTTCTAAGGTTTTCATATTCATTAAACCTTATCACTGAAGGCCTACCGTTATCAGTGTCATCATCTGCCCCACTATCAAGCTCATCTATGATGTAATCATCCTCAATTACATGTTTCCTTTGCATCTCAGTTGTAGTCAACCCTTTAGGTATCCCTTGACCATTATCCATTTGACATGTACCGTCACCATTATCCACTCCACCTGTACCAGCACCTTCACCCATGTCTTCATCAAAATTGCACATCCTCTCTTCTTCACTATCTTCAAAGTGTATACTATTCAAAGAGTCTTCAGATGATTCACTGTCCTCACCATCTTCATTTTCCTCAACATTAATGTGGCCTTTTTCTTTCTCTTTTAACCTCTCCATATAAGTCTTCTCACCACTAGATAATCTTACCTTTGTATATATCTCAACATCACACTTAGTCTCCTCGACACACATAGCTAACATTGTTGCATCCTCATCATTAACAAGGGGGTTTTAGATCATTTTCAAGTGAGCCATATTCAGACTTCCATCATATTTCACATCTTCAGTTTTAAACGATGAATCCATACTCTTAATTATGTCACGTGCTTCAAAGTATGACCATAAATCAGGATCTTGCCCGCTTACAACATAAACATCACCCCCTTTATATTTTAACCCTTCATCCTTTACAAATGACCCTTTGGTATAAAAAACAACCTTAAATAACCCCATTGCCTACACATTTCAAGAAAAAACAAGGATAACTCAGACATTATCAACAGATTAAAGATGAAAAACCCTAGAATTTTGGATCAGCCCATGGGGCATGCAAGTAATACTCATAATGAATAAACTATAGCAAGTGAGACTTACCTAATCGTTGTTGGGACCGTAGCAACGCAACAACCAGCTCAAGATTCATCAATGTTTGAGACCATAAGATAAAGATACCACTGTCGAAGGAATATGATTTTGAAACATGATATATGCCACTTACTTATGTAATGAATTCCATATCAGAAATTAAAACAAATTATTTAATCCACCTGTCTTGCCACATAGGAAGCCGTTAGTGGAACTTAACGTTAAGGACCAATTATTCAGACGAAAATTTTTGAAGGGACCAATCCTTGAAGGAAAATATTTGAGGGAGTGAAAACGAAATTTGAGATATTTAGAGGGACCAAAAACTTAGTTAACCCTTATTATTATTAAAGTATCAATTAAAAGTTGAATTAAATGTTAAATTGATAAAATGAAAATGATACGGTGGTCACACGGTTACCAACACAATACCGCCTCTCTATGATATTTAGGTCTTATTTTGTATTTTTTTTATTATTTAATTAAATTGTTTTATTATCAATTACTAGAATTTGATATTGAAAGAGTGAATGAATGTCAAATGGGACCGTTGGCATATAGTTTTTCATTTTAAAAATATATAAATAATTTAGTTTTTCAATTTTAAATATTTTCACTATAAAAATAATTTTAAAGCTGTCTTTTTAACTTAATGTGATATGCTTATACCCTATTTTGAATTTTAGGTGTCTAATATTATTAATATGCTTTTTTTAATTTGTAATTTTTTTAATTAAAATTCAAAATTCTTACTTGAAATAAATATATTTTATAATTATTTAGACTTATAAGTTACTAAAACAAAAAAAAAAATTAAAAATGATAAATGATAGTCATGAAAAAATAACGATAAATAATAATCATAAAAAAATAATGATAAATGATAAAAATTTATACAATCATTTTTATAAATAGAAATAAATTATAAATAATTGCAAATTAAAATATTAATACAAATGTTTTTAACATGAATAAGTTATAATATTTTTATAAAATGTCACACGGGTTCAAGACACTTATAAACGGGAAAAATTTACATATTGATATAATTACTTTTACAAACGAAAATAAGTTACAATAATTTTTATAAACAGTAATAAATTATAAATATTTTTATAAACGAGAAAAATTCAATTATTGATACAATTATTTTTATAAACGGGAATAAGTTTCAAATATTTTTATAAATGTACACACGGGTTCAACACACTTATAAACGAAAAAAAAGTCTATCAGTTGGAATTATTATTTTTATAAACGGGGAAAAGATATATGAAATAGATCTATGGCTAGATGTAAACGTATCTATGAGATACTAGATATAGACGGTTCATTTTAATGTTCATCTTATAAATCTTTCTTTTACTATTATTTTATATAACTGAAATTATAGAGTGGACGGTACGATTTAAGTACGAATAAATACTTAAAAGTATGTGTATATTATTAGCTTATATTTTGTAATTATGTAAATATTAACCAATTAAAGTATGAATTCATATTTTACAAATGAGTGTTTAGTATACGTGTAATGTAAATTCAGAGAGAACCCGAACGATAATATAGGTTTCTTACCCGTGATGAATAAAATTGTAAATGCTCATTTGTATTAATCATAAATAAAAATTTAAGTTTATGATAAAAGCTTCTTATAAAAGTTTGATTTTGTTTTCAATTTTGTATTTGAATACTTCTCTTTATTTATAATCTATAATATAAAAAAAAATTAATGGTTCTAGAAATCCCACCATTGATATTTTCTCTATATTTGCCATCTCCTCAAAATGGGGGCAATTTTAGTCAAAAATTTACTTTTTCTAATCAATGATGTCAGATTATTCAATTAAAACTACATCCTTATTTGTTCCAGTCTCATTGGTTGTAAACTAAACAATCCATTCAAACTTTTTGTACTTCTATTTTCAAATTTTGAAAATGACGCTAGTTACAATCAACAACACCGTTGTCTCAAACTCACCCATTTCATTTTCTTCCTTTATCTCTCCGGCTGCTCTTCTCTTCTTCCTTCTTCCTCTTTTTTCTTTGAGCAATTTCTTTCACCAGAGAGAAACAAATCGATGATTCGCGACATCGAGTTTCAAATCGTAATGATACTTGCAAGGATCTTCCTTCTTCCTCTTTTATGCACATTTATATTTCTTTGTATTCTTCAACAACATATTTATGTTTCTTGATTTTGTTTTGGTTTTTTAATGTTGAGTTGTTTTGAAATCTGTTATCTAAAATATTTTTCATCTGATACATGTTATTTCATTGACTATGATGCATATTTATTTGATACAAGTTATTTCTACCTTGGTGTGATTTTCTAAGCACAAATGACTATCCTTCTTGTGATTGAAAAGTCTCATGGATGCAACATGTTTTTCTACTATGGAGAGACTAAGATTAATTGTAAGTTGAAATTCCATTTTAATGTGATTCCGTTTTTTCGATTTCATAAGTGCTTATTTTGTGTTGTTAGTGTTGTGTTGAGTATGTTTCGGTTGTTGACGTGGTTGATGTTGTTGATGTTTGAAGATGATGAAGTATTGTGGGTGATGATTATGAACATTATGGAAGGTAAAGTTTGGTTTTTATGAAAATGGTTATGAAAAGGTGAATTAGATGGAGGTTGGTTCAAGAAGTTGGTTATTATGGAATGTCAATGTGGAACTTTGTTTGCAAAATATGATGTTTTAACTTAATGCATTGTCTTCTTTACTGAACTGTCCATTTTGATTGCAGGGTGTGCATTTTGATTGCGTGTCTTTGTTTTGGTCTGAATTGTTGGAAGTGTAAACTTCATAATATTTGTCCTTTAATTGCAAGCAGCATCCACGACATTATGAATACTATAAGAACTATGATGACCTAGAGGTAAGAAATATTTGTTTGCTTATGGGGATAGTATATGGGGATAGCATGCACAAAGTTTTGCATGTCGGTCTTGATACTTACTATGTGGTGTGTAGATTGCAAAAGAAGGATGGAACTGAAGTCTGGAGTATACAACCATATGATGTAGAGGAAGCCGGTAGTAATTGCAAAACACTAATCCGTAGAGGCATTGTGCGTGTCGCTAATATCAAGTTTCTCTCTTATAATTGTTTCAGGTAGATTACCTATCCCCAAAATACCTCAATAAAACTCTTCCAGATTTGGTGAGGGTATCAAATGATGGTTTAGTGATATTTACTGGTAAGAGCATTTTACCAAATTTTGATTTCCCCCTGAGTAAACTTTATTTTCCCGTGAAAAGAGATTTCTTTAGCATGAAACTTGACTTAAATCACTCGTGTTTATTACTGTTATACAAACCAAATGAGGAAATGAAGGCTATGGAATTTACTATCCTTCATTTCTGCAAATTTGAGTATCTCACTTAAGTGTTTGTACAGAACAATAGGCACTCACTAGAGACACAAGTGATCACATACATTGGCCCATTTGAATGATGAATGCGAACCTCCCTAATATGTTTTAACATTGAATTGCACTAAAATTGCATTTTGCTATGCATTGAAATCACTGAATTAAACCCTTACAAGCTTAAAAAAGACTCCTAACAATTTTAAACAATTTTATAAGCAGAAATGTTGTTTGAAAGAGTATATTTGAGCTATCACGAATATCATTTTATTCGACTTTATAAATTTGTTGAGTTACTTTACTGATTATGTTTGGGAATTCTGTTTATTCTTTAGCTCAGAAAGCAATAAACCCAATTGGATTGGGTTTTAACATCTCAATAGATTTTAAGTTTGAGAATTGTAAGAGTATTGGTTCACCTTTACTGTGAAGAAAAAGCCGTTGAAGGTAAAGAAAAGGAACAAGAAAACAATAAGGTGAAAGAAGAGAAGGTTGAAGTTGAAGAAAAGGGCGTGTTAGAGTTGTATAAGAAAAGCGACAATGGTGTGAATGAAGGAAAGGCCACTGAAGGTGAAAAAAAGGGCATGTTAGAGTTGTATAAGAAAAACGGCAATAGTGTGAATGAAGGAAAGGCTACTGAAGGTGAAATAAAGGATCAGGAAACTGAAAAAACCTTCAGCTGCTTCTTACAAGGATGACTCGGATGTTATCTTACATGAGGATTTGAAGGTTATCTTTGAGAAGTTTGGTGATGTTAAGGTAAATTTCGTTTTGCTCTTCAGCTGTTAGGACTTTATTACATATGTTTGATATTTTTCTACGACTCTTCATCTGTTGTATATAACTTTTACCATTTTGTTTTTTATTTGGACTTTTTAGCACTGCTAAAAGGATTTAGTTTTCTTCTTTTGTTTTAATACCCTGATGTTGGTTTAGATATTAGACCATTATGTCTCACTCATTCATTACTAAACTATCAAGCTTTCTGAATTTGATTAAAACTGGTTTTTTTAATTGTTTTGCTTAAGACATGCATATTAATTTTATATTCATGTCTACATGCTTAGTACATAGATTTCAAAATGGGAGCTGAGTCATAATTCATTCGGTTTGACGTACCTGAAGCTGCTCAAAAAGCGCGTGCTACTGCAGTTCTCTCTGAAAAGGGGGGCTTAGTTGTCAAGAATTTTATTGCTATTCTAGATCCAGTGACAGGTTAGTTTCACATCTAATTTTCAAACTGTTTGGTTTCGTGTCTATGTGTTAACTCTTTGAGTCAGTCCTTCACTCATTGTTTATGCTGGTTCAATTTTTTTTTATGAAAATGTAATTTGATATCTAGTTAAACATCTTTTGTTTGCTATGAAATCAGGTGAGACTGCTGGAGCTTGCTTCGTGGTAATCAAGATAAGCGTGGAGAAAGTTTTAACAACCGAGGAGGCTTTAATAACAGAGGAAAGTAAGTTGCACTCAACCATCCCTTAACTTGAATATGCCTTTTTCTGATCCTATTTTTTTCTTCCTATTTTGTTGTGGCCACTGAGGGGTGACGAAACCAGACCTAGAATATTAACTATATAATCTCCTTGTAGAGGAGGAAGGCATGGAAGAGGAGGATGGAGATTTTTGCGGCAGAGAAAATGATTCTGCAGGAGGTCGCCAAAACAAACTCACTCGTGTTGAGTCGTGTTTAAAGTTGAGAGTAGTCATCAATATTGGTTTTCAGATCCAATATTAACTCTCTGAGTTCTTCATGAAGTTATATGTAATTTAGTCTGTATATTTTGCAACGAATGTAGAAGGTCTTCCTCCGGATCGAATTGTTCCGACTGTGGGATTGAATATTGGTTGGATTGAAGTGGCAAATAGAAAACTTGTGTTCTGGGACCTGGGAGGCCAGGTATCTCAGAAATAGATAGGCGATAATTTTGTTTGTAAATTCTATAATTATGATATTAGGATGAATTGTTTATTTGATTTGGCAAAATTATTTTGTTCACCGAGTCTAGCTTTATGAGTTGCTTGTCAAAATCATTTCGGTCTAGAACTTTGATAGCTAATATGTTTAACATCTACATTGTTCTTGAGGTTTAATTTTGTTATGCTTCTTTATAATATTAAAATGCAATTATTGAAAGAACAAGAAACTGTTTTTCTTTTCAGAACTTTCCTTGGGAAAGCTGTTTTTTTAATGGCACTAAACTAGGTGGTTTAGTGTGTATTTTTTATCATATGTTTGATATGTTATATACTTATATTCAACAAATAAGAACAATTACTTTATTTATGGTTACTTATAAGAAATTAAGAACTGCTAATTAAACTATGTAATTTGGACTATTAACTTTACTCTTTTATGACTGAAACTTGAGTTTTATTGGTTCAATTGGCAATGTTGAAGGAGGTTTTGTAATTGAAAAATTATTCTAATATGCATGGACTATTGATTCAGTACTTCATTTTTTACTGTAAGCCTAACAGGAATAGACTGTACCATTTGATGCAAATCTCATACTTGACCTTCTGTATACCGATCTTGCTATCATTATGTCCATTTTCATATAATATGTTAATGTAATTTCTCCACTTATCAGCTTGGTCTTCGCTCAATCTGGAAGAAATATTATGAAGAGGAACACGCTGTAGTATTTGCTGTAGATGCATCTTGTCCCTCACGATTTGAAGATTCAAAGTCTTCACTTGGTTAGTGAGACTTGCTTTTAGCATAGAAATAAGCATTGATGCTATCTCCTAACCTAATCCAAATATATCGTTGCTCTTTGCCTAAGGATATTATCCTCAATGTTTACTAGATTCATAACCTCCTGCAGACAGGTTTTCACCTTCGTGATTCTATCACCATTCATTCTATCTAAAAGCAACTCCTCCGGAGCTTTGCAAAGGCTCTCCCTGGCATTTTTAAGCTGCTCCTTTATCCCCTTAAAAAGCTTACATTTTATCCTAATGACAGGTTGCAATCAGTGCAGCTTTTTCCAAACTTTGAACATAGGATTACCAATAAGCTCCATATTTCAATCAGTTTCTACTGCAGATAGAAACCCCTCATCCTTTGTCAAAATATTAGTAAATTTAAAGCTCCTATTATATCTCTGTCTTTGATATAAGTTGCCAGCAAATGAGGGCATGGTCTGAAACCTCTAGGGGCATAACTTTCAGAACGCTAGCCATATACTGCTGATGCCATCTTACAGTCCCAATGATTCTGTCGATTCTGAAGTATATGGTCTCATTACATCATTACCTGCCATGTCTTTATATTCCTTTTCCTGCACAGTGGAACCACCAATCCTATCTTGAATATACAAAACATTGTTAAAATCTCCCATTAAAAACGAAGGCCCCTGGATAGTTTTAACAATGTCCTCAATATCATTCCATAACTTCCTTCTTTTCTCCAAAGTGTTGTGTGCATATATTGCAGTACACCACATCTGAAACTCACCCCTACTGTTGTTGATGCCCACATGAATCATCTGATATGAGCTTACTTCCATCTTTAGATTGACTTTATTATTATCCCAGATAAACCACACTTTACCATTTTCATGATGTTCATAATTATCAATGTATGACCACTTCTTCCTTAATTTATTTTTGATACTATCAGCTTTATTATTCTTGACTCTTGTTTCAATGAGAATACCAATTTTAGGTTGTAGATGGTTGAGACGAGTTGCTATCTCTTCTCTACACTTGTCTGTCCTATTCAACCCTCGCACATTTCATGATATAATCATGGCACCTACTGTGTTAGCCCATGGATCCTTCCCAATCCTAAGAGCTTCGAAACCATTCTTACAGGATATTTCCACATCTTGATCTTGTAACACCGCCTTACCCCTTAATTTCGTGTTATGATTCAATTGTGTCCAGGGAACATATGAAGGTTCAATTGGATTGTTAAAGGTACATATCTCACTTGATTTAGGACTAACTTTAGCAGGGACTTGTTGCCATTATTTCTTCTCCTTGGGTTTCTCCTTCACGCATTTGTGTCCCACCCTTTGACAAGTTTCACAGAACTTGGATTTCCACTCAAATTCCACATTTTGCTCATAGTTTTCTTCATCCTCATCCTGTATAATAATGCTCTCCTACTGTAATTTTGTAATATCAAATCCTACTAGAATTCTAGCATATGAAATCCTTAGCTTATTTATAGTATATTCATCCGTTAGAATCAGCTTTCCTATAGTGCTTCATATCTTCCCCAAGCTTGATGATCCCCAAAGATAAAGAGAAAGATTAGATAGGGTTACCAAGACTGGAATAGTCCTGACAATGTCTCTCTTGAAGTTGAACTTTGGATCCCGGTTCTTCATTATCATTGACATATTATGAATAGTATATGACCATTTCATCAAGACCATTTCCTTCTCTTGCTCAGATTTGAACTTCATTAAGAAATATCTTTCATCATGGTAGAAAAGTTCCAAAAGTTGCACAAAATTCCAATACCTCATCATGAATTGTTTGACTATATTCATGTTCAAATCCTTTCCTAACACATATCATATGATGACAGAGTGCTTCCAATACATAAATTCCTTCCAATACATAAATTCCTTCTCAACATCTTCGTTAGCAATGACGACTAGTGGTTTCCCCTCCACCATTTGTGGTGCAGAATATCCAAGCACAAACCCATTTATTGAAATATGATTACCACTAATCACACCTACCCATAATTTCATTTTCTTTTTCAGAATCAGGATTTCTGAATCCGCTTTCACTGATTCTCCCTCTAGGGTTTCAACATCCCAATCCTCAATCACATTTTCCTCTTCCTTTTCGCCATTCCCCTTGCCCTTCTTACTTGAACTCCCTTTATCTTCCTAACTTACAAACCGCGTCATCGGCGTTGACAACTTTGTCTTCGGTCTTCTGCGCCCACGACCCATCTCCTCCAACAACTCTTACAAACTGATTTCCTCATTGTTTCTCCTTCTCCTCTGTGGTCCCTAACCCTAAGGTTAGGAGTTTAAACCAACACAGAAGAAGCTTCCACTGCGAGAAGTCGATTATACTGTGCCGGAAACCTAGTCCCTCACTGGAAATCGCCAGCGCAAAAAGGAGCCTCTTATATTAAAAAGAGACTTCTCACCAGAAATAATGATTTATTTTGTTGTTGTTTTATATAATTGAAGTTATAAAAATAGTTGTGCGATTTATTATAGATACAAATCAATGCTTAAAAATTAGTATATATTATTAACATATAATTGAAACTACGTGAATATTTATGAATTGCAATATAAATTATATTATGTTTAATATTTCAAACACATAAATTAAAATTTGATAAATAATTATAAGTTATAACTATATTAATGTTATCAAACTCAACATGATATCATATTTAACAATTTAGTTATTGATACATGTAATGTAAATTCATACGGGACCCGTACAACAACACATGTTTCTACCATTTGAGAGTCATTTATCATACCAAATAAATATGTCCCCTTTCTCCACGCTGGTGATAAAATCCAGACTAAAATCCTCAACCGCTTTAGTAATAGAATACCATGTATACGATGATCCATGATAGTTATTCGTCTCTAGAATACGGACTACATAATTATATCTAACTGACAATAATTAAACCTATAACTTGTCAAGATTGTGAAGAAACTTCTAAACATGTTTACTCAATATTACAACATTAACAAATCTAGCTCTCCTGATGCCAAAACCACTTCTAGTAGAAGGTTGAGTTATATTATCCCTTTTAACGCAATGGTTAAAATTACCTGTCCAAACGAACCGTCTTATACAAAAATCAATCTTACTACAAATGTCTTTATGCATTATATAAATAGACATATAACTAGGCACAACAGACTTTGCAAAAGTCATCCCTCAAACCTACTTTCCATTCAGCTAAACAAAAATTAATTTTATTAATGATAAAGGAGAAATTCACATTTTTACCAGAAAGCAAAGCAAATCCAAAATATTGATCAATATTAAAAGTTAATCATACTGAAAGTTAATCATACCTTCAAATTTCATTACCTTTATCCATATCCATGCTAAATTTTTAGAGGAAAGAAATTTAGATTTACAAATAATAATCTTCATACCAGAGTCTTTGCAAAAAGCTTGAAGCATCTCATTATCTAACCTAACTTAAGAAGTTTTGACTCTTATAAAAAATAGACAATCATTCGCAAAAAAGAGAAGAGATGAGAAATAACCGAACCAGAGTGTTTGCAAAAAACTTAAAGCATCTCATTAACTAGCCTAACTTAAGAAGTTTTGACTCTTATAAAGAGTAGACAGTCATCTGCAAAGAAGAGATGAAAAAAAAAACCGATCTAGGCATTCCAATCTTGAGATTCCTTCATCTTGAAGTCACAGTTTGTGGCATACAGCACATTCACTAAGCAACTTTTTTTTGGAGACATGAGTTCCATATATATTATGAAACCAGAGGACACGTTGCGGGAAAATTGTTTAGACTTCGTCTGAAAATTATTAATGTCTAGCAGCATTTTAAGTGATAGATGATACCACACAATGTGTTATTAATCATTTCAAGCCCAAAAGTTCAACAAGAGGATTTTTGGATACCGAAACCATCCAAGATTGTTTCTCTAAGAGCAGACAAGCAGATATGCTTTCCGTCTTCCCATCTTTACTTAAATCGTAGCAAGGTTCCATTGTCAGCCGAAACAATTACTAGTGATCTCAACCACAAAAATGGTAGCAAGGTTCCATTGTCAGCCGAAACAATTACTAGTGATCTCAACCACAAAACAAGTCACGTAACTAGATGAAGACAAAAGCCCTAATCGGCAATCTTCAGTTAGAGAACAACAGATCCTTCTGGAAATAAACTAGTCAATCTTTGTCCACCAACATGCTAAAGACAGAAAAGTAAACCTCTATAAAACTTCCCAGAAAAGCATATATGAAAAATAAATGAAATAAAATGCCAGAAACTACAGGACAATTTTATTGTTTTTACTCACGAATTTATATTATACAAAACGGCATTGGTGCCTCACCTGTCCACAAGCACAAAGTACTCAGATGAAAACACATCTTCCCCTAGTTCTGTAATACAGAAATGTAGATTTTTCCAACTTAGAAAACTTGAATCACCCCTTAAACAACATCTCATTAAACAAAGCAAAAAACTATTCAAATGTTTAGCACATTTGAAGTTGAGTTAGCATAAGAACATTTACCATGCCAGTTTTACTAGTTCACGCACAACCAAAACATCGGGAAACTTATTGCATAGGAAAGCATTAATCTGTGTCTCAGCAAAAAAGATATGCTGACTACAGGTTAACTACGGTCTGCATAATAAACATTTATCAACTACTTATATTCCATGGTAGAATAGCCATCAAAACCAAGATAGAGCACAGCAGGGGTCAAAAAGAGACAATGATCTTCAACAGTTACTCAATAGATAACTGATGCTGCAGCTGGTAACAAGTTCTTGGCAGGATATATTACCATGGCAACAACAAAAGGTCGAAAACCACCCACTTATTTTTTCTTCATCCAGCTTTTGCTGCACGAGATCCCCCTGTTAAATAAAGATCTTTTAGATAATTTTAGAAGATGAGAAGCAAGAATATGCAACTTCCATGCTCTAAAGTCATAGCACAAGAGCCAATCCCAATTGCTTTGGAAATGGGGACAAAAAACTATATATTATAAGTCTTTCATAAAGAAAATTGTCTTAAACTTTTTGGCACAGTGGGAAAACATGATCACTACAATCGTAAGTATTTCAAACCTTTTTAAATTTCATGCACAAATCTCCTACAAGATCTTGTCATAATTGGGAAGCATTTGTTAACTTATTCATATATAGAGCATCTAGTTTCTTACAAAATAACAAGAACTCTGTAATACTAGTACTAGTAACTAGTAATAACTACTAGTAGTACTACTACCCTTTTAAAAAATCAGGCATTATCAGAGTGTACAATCATCATGTATAAAACTTAACAATCAAACTTAAGCACCAGAGACAGATTTGGATCCTTTACACTCTACCGCTAAAAAATTCTCATTCTCTCGTTTCAAGATATATTTTCTCAAGTAAACCTTCAAGTTAGTTCCTGACTTTGTAAGACGCTCTCAAATAGGTCCCTGAGTGTATAAATATTTCAAAAAGGTCTCCGACTCTGCCAAATTGTATTCGTCATATTAATCCTTTGATACTGATGTTATGGACTAAATTGATAGTAAGTTGCTAAATACAAGGACCAAATTGATAGTAAGTAGTTACAATATAAGAACTTAATTGATAGGAATTGGTTAAATACAAGGACCACTTGACACTTTAATAGAGTTAAGGACTTTTTGAAATATTTATACACTTTGGGACCAATTTGAGAGCATTCTACAGATATAGATAGTGTAGAGGATATATTTTCACCAGAGTTAAGGACAATTAGGTATTTTTAGCAATTACACATACAACAAAAGCTTATCTTCCTCATATGGAAGAGTCAGCTAGAATTATGTATTTCTAGCAATTACAGATCCAACAACAAAAGCTTATCTTCCTCATATAGAAGAGTCAGCTACATGAATCAATTACAGTAATTAAACATAATGAAAAAAACAAACAAGTGTCATTGAAAGCAATGCTTCATTTCTGAAACTCTTTTTCTTACTCCTAAGATTCTGTGCTTTTTATTTTGCGTGCTTACAAAACAAAAATTAAATACCTAAACAAACAATACCTAAACAAACAATTATCACTAGAACCCAAACAATGACAAGATATGCTAAGAAAAACACAACAGGGAGCAGCAATTAAAAGAAATAAATTATAAATATAAACTAACTTTGAAAAAAATTCAAATATTTAACACTTTCTTTTAGAGAGTATGCAAAATCAGGCATCACCTTTTCTTTTATTGGAAGATTGGGAATTAATATTAGACATTTTCGGTCCAACTCCACAATCATGAAGATCTTTGAGCCCCAAATTCTGGCCTCCGAGACACTGAAGACTTTCAAATTCACAACCATCAAATCCTTCCTCATTTGGTGACACCCCTTCTGCAACAAACCTCTCATCTGCTCCAGGACCATGGCAATATACCCGATCATCACACTGCACATTACAAGGGTTCATGACATAAGAACCAGGCAAATTCGGAATCGGTGGGTTAGCATTGGTTGGTTTCTGATACGGAAACGATCCAATTTCCCCTTCAATCCTCCCCCTAATATCAACCAACAAACACTTCAACCTCGCCACTTCAGCCTCCAGAGCAGCCTGCCCCTGCAACTTCCTCATCAAATGCTGATTCAAAGCCCTCAATTTCGTAACCTCATCCTCCAACGACGCAGCCCTAGCCTTTTTCTTCTCACGATACTTCCGAACAGCTTCTTTATTCCCCACCGGCCGCTTCTTCGACTTCTTCTCAGCCGACTCAGCAGTATCATCAGTACCAACCTGATCCTCTTCAGACGCAGGCACAATTTTGGTATGAACATGATAACAAGTATGAGTGTGCGAAGAATCAGGACCTGGAGGGTTACACGTGTGGGTGTGAGTACAAGCGTGTGTGTCTTTCAACAGTTCATCAAAGAAACTGTCCATTGAACCGCTACTCGGAAATTCAGGTATGGTTGGATTCGGAAAAACGTCCTGATTCGAGAAATCAAGTTCACCGTCCTCCATTTCCGAAGCAAACCCTAAAATCAACCCCTAAACCTGATTAAAAAACACATAATCATGCAAATGAGAATTCCAAATCGGTGAATTCGAACTAGAAAAAGTACAATATTAAAATTGGAATTGTTGTTACGATTGATAAAATTGAAAACTAAGAACTCAATTGATGGAAAATTGAAAACGAAATATAGTTGAAAATGAAAGGTGAAACCCTAAAAAGAAGAGAGTAACAATGAGAAAGGAGAAAAAAAATGGACGTACCAGGTTGAAGCGATAATTCAGAGATTCCACTACTTTCTTTTGTTTGCTATCTCTCTCAACCGTTTTTAATTTATACGCATATGATCATTTGATTATTTCTGTGGGTCCCAGCTTCGTGGCAACAGAGTCACGTTACACGCCGAAACACTAAGCTTATGTTAGGAATTAAATAATGAAATGTATTTTCTTAGTTTATCTTTTTTTTTTTCTAATAAAAATATATAAATGTAATTTTTTTTATTTCTTAAAAAATATTTAGATATATTTATGATATTTTTATTGAAAAAAATATGAGTCACACTTATAAAATTACATTTAAATATTCTTTATTAAATAAATTTAATATTTAAATTTTGCGAAGTTATAAAAGATTTAATTTATATACACTAATTGTCATTCAATAGTATTAGAGTTTGAAAATTAAAGTGTTATTTATTCTAATATAAAATTGTGATAGAATGATTGCGTAAAATATATCACCTCATTATAAAAAGGAATGACTTGCGAACGATTTAAAATTGATAAAACAACTGTTCGTGAAATAAAATATACTTAGGAGTTAAGTTGTCACTCTAAAAAATTTATATCAACACTAAACACTGAAAACAGAAGGAATCTTATATAGGGGAAATGATTCTGGAATTCGTAGAACTTCACTGTTTAACTTTTTCTTTGTTTTCTAAGATGATAAAAAATAATAATGGCGCCGGTGTACTTTTTAACTATACACTTGACGGGTCTACAGTGAAAAGAATCTATTTTGTTCGAATTCTTCGGTCTGGCGTGGCGATTGGAATAATAATACCTTGGTTAGATGGGATGTTTATTTTAAAAAAGTTGAAAACTGTGTTAGAAAGCTTGAGTTGCTTCTATTAAAAAACGTTTTTTAATAGTATTACTATAAAAAAAAAGAAGTAAAATCATAAAAACTGTATAATCTATTAATACAAATAATTTTAAAATATAGGAAGTGTCTAAAAGATTACCAATGATACAAATAAAATCTAATAATAAGAAAAACACCACAATCAACTTATCTGCAAATCAAAAAACAAGGAAAAACATTCAAATTGTTAAACATCAACCTTTTAAGATTCAAATTCAAGTTTATATAGGCAAAACCATCATTAATATATTAGAATCTATCGAGAGATAAAACAAAATTTCATAACAAAAACCATCTTAAATAAAAGTAAAAACTTGATCAACTCTTGATTAAAATATATGATAAGATTCTTAAGTCAGTCAGAGTACGAGTATAAGTTCATTCATGCGTCGAAATCATTTTTAAACCAAAAAAAAAAAAATACTCTCCTCCACGTTTTTTTTCTTCCAGTTTTGTAACTTCATAAAAGATGACATGACTACGAGCTTTTCAAATAGTCCAAACTACAACATGTTGTAGCGGTAGAAATGTTGAGACTAAGTTATCAAATTGATTAAACTCGTAAATCAGTGAAAGTCACCACCACACTTTTATTTTATTCAAAGGAATGAGAAAATAGCGAATAAATCTAAAATAAAATAGAGATCAAGGTAAGGGGGTTGGTTATGCAAAGAGAATGTATTAGCACCTTAAACATCTCAGTACTCCGCAAGAACCTCTTTGAAAATCTGTGTATTTGGCTATAAAGAAAAATTTACAAAAATGAGATTGTCAGATGAAAAAATAGTAGTTTTTACAATTTTTGCACCCGCCGCAGTTGCGAACTTTTTGTGTTTACGTACCCCCTCCGTGCAATAG